CTCCCAGAGTACTTCTACATAAAGATTTCTGTCCGGTCGCGATTGCTCGTGCCAGAAGCCAATAGCGTGCATCAACTCATGCATGATGGTCCCTTTGTGGTTGCAGCCTTTACCAAGTGAAAGCTTTTGCCCAACTCCTGTCATCCAGTACTGGCGACCAACGGAGGACCAGCAGCTAAAAATCAAGTAACACTTAACGTAAATCCTCTATTAAGTCCCCTGGGGGGCTTATTTATTTCAATCACATTTGAGGTTGAGGAGGGGGCGGGGGGGAAGGTCTTTATAGAGACGGGGAGCTTATTTAATTTAGCCAAGACGATAGTATCAGTTCTCCCGAAAGAACTAGAATACAGAGTGGAAAAGCACAAGTACGAGAAGTTGGAGGTCATACAGATTTGTTATGATCCTCGAGAACCAATAACAAATCCGAAGTGCCAGTTGGTAATTTATAAATAAACCATCCTGGATCAATTTTTGAAGCAAGGACCAGCTTACAAAATAGAAGGAGCGGATCTTAATGAAGGATCTAATCAGCAATAAGTGAAAATATAAAACAAAAGAAGCAAGGCCTATTTTACAGTCGCGAATATATATATATTTTTACTGAAATTTCGGAAGGCACGGCCTTCCTTCTTCAGAGTCTCACATATAATGGATCAGTCCACATAAAGTTTTACAGTCGTGCTTGATAATACGGTGAAGTGATGAATAATAAGGGGGAGGGATGGGGTGTTCTAAAAAGGAAGGGGGGACTTATTAACTGTCTTCCCCTGGAAAGCGGGGGGCTTATTAGAGAAAGGGGGCTTATTTGAGAGGGGGAGGCTTAATAGAGGATTTACGGTAAATCAGAAATTTATATACAAAAGTGAATCCCACGCGAGAACAACAGTGACTTTAGTCACACGGCTGACGTCGGTCAGACTGACAACCGATCAAAAGAAAATTGCGTTGGGAGGCAAAGCAAAACCTTTGCAAGGATTAAGCGTAAAGCAGAAGCTTAGTTCTTGCTAAAATTTTAGGGTAAAAAATTTGATAGGATTCGTAACCATTACAAACGCGAAAGGTAAGACTGTCAGTGCAAAATAACACTGCCGTCATCAACTTTTTGCATTCGAGGGAAAGTTGTGTATACTGACAGTTCGTAAATGGCATTTTCATATTGTAATCCAGAACCTTCAGTCATAAACCAGTAGTGTGTGATATACGTCAAACTACCGCTTATCTGGCAGCGTGAGCATATTTCTATACTCACTGCACCTCGATTATGTCATGTATGATACAGGTAACTCAATTGGAAATATGGGTGGACTTCAGCCTAGTCGCCAGGCGTTCTCTCTTGATCCGTTGTCCGCGCGAAGTCTGGGAGAGAGTATCTCTCGGCGAGTACCTCTCGGTGACGTCACAACTCATGGTAGAGTACAGGAATGACCGAGCCGAAAAATGCCTGGGGACTTAGGCTGGGTGGACTTGTGTTCCAGCTGGAATCCTTTTTTATGGAACCTCACCTGATCTACTCTTACCCTTTCTCATGAACAAACTTCACAAACAGGTCTTCACCAGTTCTTGGTTTAAAGGTCAGACATGTTTTATTTTCATATTCAGCAATTGCTTCTTGAATAGTTGATTTAAAGGCATCTGAGGTGAAAATAAGCAAAACCAGCAAGTTAATGCTGAAGTATCTGTCGTTGGGAATTTTGGGGTATTAACTGGGTTGCATCTAGCCTGTTCCAGGCTCCGAGCTAGTTGGGTCCGCGGAATGAGAAAGCACAAACACGAAAATAAAACCGGAGGAAGCTGGGGAGAGGAAGGACGGCACACCTTTTCCCAGATCACGTGCTCATATTTTTGAGCGCCTTTCAGTTACGCGTCATCTCTACTATATGTCTGAGAGCCTGGAACAGGCTACAACCAGTTGCAAAAGTACTTGAGACACAGTACCGTATATTTTGGCATAAATGGCCTGTCTATGATCTTGTGCTTGTGACCCCCCTCCACCCCTTATCAAGGTTGCTAGCAATACAAGACCATACTCAAAACTTGGAGGAACAGCTTTGAATGGGAGGAAGGAGGGTGGTCAGTATTGTATCTCACAGACCTGTGACCAGGAGCGATTTGAAGCAAGAAAGGTTGTTTTCTTCGCGGGAGTGTCTCAACATTTTTGCAACTGGTTGTAGCTTATATCCTGATGGCGCGGTCGGACAAATTGAGAGGAAGTAAATGAACTGTATAGGTATATACCACTGTATGTTATTAGTGGTGAAAACGTCTGAAAACTGTTCTGTCTAAGGATTATAACTAGCAAAGATTTTCTATTCCTTTTTTGGTAATAATACAAAAATCGGGAATCTGAATCTGAGGCTGAATTTTTCGATTTCTATGTATTTTGGGAGCAAATTACAAATCGAGCCAAGTTTTAAACACGCAAAGCTTAAAGAATGCAATGAACGGACGGTCGACTCGGCTTGTGACAAGACTCTTCGCTGTGACGAGCTCAACTTTATAGAGACGGTGGAACACAGAAAAGAGTAAGAACAAGCCAATCGACAAATCAGAGGTGGGTGGTGGACCTTTCCCCAGACCCAAACCCTTGTCAACATGACTAGGATCATTGGGTCACAGTGCTGTTCGCAGTTTGATGAAAATTCATTTAGGTTTTTAAGGTAAAATTCTACTAAGACGTTTCGGACTTGTCTCTTCGTCAGTAGAATGCCGTTGGCTTTGTTACAGCTGTATGCCATCAAAGTTACTAAGACATCCATTATCAAAGAACGGTTGTGTAATTTGGTACACGGTATAAGTGAAGGAGAGACAGACAAGAATGATTTGACCTCTGTCTAATAGGAACTCAAATTTTCCCTCCCTGGCTCCTTTTTTCACGTCTTTTACGAGGTGTATATGTTAACAATTTGCCATGCCAGTGTCTATCCCGGTAAGCGGCTTGTTCCATACTTGTTTATCAACCGCTTAGGTTGATCGTACATGTGCTTGGATTATATTCTGCAGATTTAATAGTGGAAGTATTTGAAGTAAATTCTCAGCAGTCTAGTCGGTATGGTACCCGGGTGAGGCACTCTATAGCCTCCCACGTAGACGTTCTTAGGGGTTCGTCACGTGTTCCTGCCCCACTAACGTCTGCGGAACCGAGAAATACATTCCTTTCCTATTGTTCACAAATATCAGCTGGAGATCACATGACTCACATCTATAGCCTTCCACGTAGACGTTCTTAGGGGTTCGTCACGTGTTCCTGCCCCACTAACGTCTGCGGAACCGAGAAATACATTCCTTTCCTATTGTTCACAAATATCAGCTGGAGATCACATGACTCACATCTATAGCCTTCCACGTAGACGTTCTTAGGGGTTCGTCACGTGTTCCTGCCCCACTAACGTCTGCTGAACCGAGAAATACATTCCTTTTCTACTGTTCACAAATATCAGCTGGAGATCACATGCAGATTATCGGAGATCCAATCGGTGCTGTTGAAATGAAAGTGTTGACAAGCCAAACACATACGTACAAGCTCGGTAGGGTGTGATACGTGACCAAAGATTTTTGCTTCGGACGAGAATCTAGGAGATACGCGCTGGCTTTTTGTATATTTCTCTCTGTAAAGGCTGGATTAGATGCCACTTGTTCATAAAGTTGTTCTTTCGGTGATGCCACGACGGGGTTACCTTGTAACGGACCAAAAGGCATAATTTTTTTCACACTTAATTGTTTTGTAGTAAAGCCGACTTCCGTTCAGCAAATTTAACCTCCGAGGTAATTTTTTTTTAATGATATTGTGAGGGTAGCCTCTAGAACGAACGCTTGTGAGTTAACTGTGTAGTTTTTTCTAAAACTGTAAGGTCTTCACCTTTCATGAGAACTTTCTAATCTTTTCTGGAGCTAAGTCAAGCGAGTGCACTTCCCAGATCTGGGAGTCTGCTATGATTGGTCTACGTTATTTTCCGCTCAAATCAGCAGACGATAGTGGGGCAGGAACGCGTGACGAACCCGTAAGAACTTCTGCGTGGGAGGCCAGGCACTATACGGAAATTAAAGGCTCCATCCGAAAGGGATACCTAGATTTCAGGCTTCAGGTATATCAAAGGGTAGGGAATTCACGAGTTGAAGTACATGGAAGGGTTGGAAAATTTATCATTAAAGTATTTAAAACGGCCTTTAATTGAAATATTTCGAAAAAAAAGCGCCTTATGGCTATATCATTTTAATTTATTAAACCCACACAAAAATGAAAGGAACACTTTCTATTTGCTTTTTTTTTTTAATTGGAAGGTATACGAAAGGGTACCTTTAATGTCAACACTGGTATATAAAAGAGTAAGGGGTTGGACCTCGGGACGGTGCCTCCTCGGATATAGACTACGAGTAGTCCCCCATTTTTCCTCAGGAATAGTAGAGCGCGCGTTAAAATCACCCCACCCGTAGGGTGATTTTCACGCGCGCTCGCGTTTCGGTCGCTTTACTATCCCTGAGGACAAATGGGGGGCTACTCGTAGTCTACTCCGGATAAGACTTTGTTGACTACTCCCCCCGGGGGGTATAACATGTCCTACCTGGAAGGCTGCTGTCGTACTCGTAAGGAATAACACGTGTAACCCACACCTTCTTTCGATTGCGAGCAGCGTTCCGTTTCTTGCGCCCGATTAATTGCTGTCCATCCACATCACCAGCATCGCTCAAATCAACCAAATCATCAGGAGATAAATCGATATCTGCCTCGTACTTGTTGACGTCGTTGCCTGGAAAGTAGAGAAAGCCTTCAGATTTGCGTTTTTAGACTGATTGGATAGTGTGTCAGCAACAATATCTTTCGCCCCATGAAAGGTAATCAAAGACAGTCTAGGATTCTCGATTTCACGCTCTTGATTTCGGACTCCAGGTACTGGCTTCCGGATTCCTTGTCAGTGGAACTTGGATTCCAAATTGCAATCGTTGGTGGGATTCCGGATTCTTTGAGATGAATTCCAGACTCAAAAGCCCAGGATTTCTGATTCCACAAGTCCTGAACTCAGAACACCCTAAGACCCAAAACTGAGTTTACGAGACGAAGATTCCGGAAGAGGAGGAATTTTTGCTTGTGGACCGGAGTCCTGGGCTTTGGAATGCAGAGTACAGCTCAAGGGATCCGGAATACCCGCACTGATGGTTACAATCCGGAATCCAGTACCAGGATCGAAGACTGTCTTCTATTTCCCCTACATGTGGCGACCATTCCGACTATTTTTATATGGAAGTTCCCCCGCGATTTTGGGCGATATCTTTGTAATGTAAACAAGATCTGAACAACGGGAGTGCGGCCCTAGGAGTTACTCCCATCGAACCTGTTTCAATGACATTCGGGGGTGCTTTCCATTCAGCCCAAAATTCCAGAAATTTCGGTTTGAAATCAAATGGAACGGACCGTTTCCGTTCGATTTGACCGGAATATTATGGGACCACCTTTGAAACCTGTCTGCTCATTTCGGTTGGTTGGACCGAAATGTCCCTTGCCATTTGACAAAATTGTTATCCCCAGTTCCGCTCTTTTGTATCCTGCTTACACGAACAATAACCAAACGCGGGGTGGTTTGGGTCAGGTCTGTGTAACCGGAATGTACCTTTCCGTTGGGCACGTGAAATTTCCGAAATTTCAAACCGGAATTTTTGTTGAATGTAAGTCGCCCTTGAATTCCCAGCTTCTTATTAGGGCTAGAAACAATTTTCTGGCCGATCGGAAGTAAGGCATTCGTGATATTCTTTTTAAGATTACTTTGTTAATAGTGAGTATCCTGGCAGGCGTTCTTGTAAACTTTGCTTACTGTTCTTGCACTCGTGAATATTCCCGTTCATCTCTATCCTCATAGCAAATACTGTATGAAGCATTATTTTTCATGATTTGCATGCATTCAAAAGGGCCGAATCCGGTGAAGGTACTTTTCGTTTGGTAGTCGCAAGTGGCTCGGCTGTATGTCCTAGATTATGGCATTAAGGCATGAGTGTTAAGTTTTATTACTATATGTTACTGTCGTTACTGTTTAAACCAAAAAAAGAGGACAACCATATGTCAACAACCGTGGAATGACCGGAAGTAAAACTGTAAGTATTCCCCATTGAACTTGATTGTTATGACAAAGGTCACATCTGTAGCAGTTTTTTTTCTCAGTTTATTTGCACTTTCAGTTTTAGGCAAAAATTGTTTAACAATTAGTAAACGCCCAGGGCACTTTATCGGTGGCAAGAAGAGCATTCACGAAGCACGTATTCGTATTCGTATTCATTCTATTTTTTTTTCTTTACCTTTATTGACTTTTTCTATGTGATCCAAAATCGTTTCGTCCCCAACAAGTTGGTCCTTGTCGTCTTCCCTGATTAGGGATCGTTTTGCCTCTGAAAATCAACGTTAAAAGATTGAGATAAGCATATTTTCATCTCTCAAATCTGCAAAGTTACTATTCAGAACCTAAGTGGCATGTATCCATAACAACAAACTATATTAAGTTCCCACTGTGAGCAAAAACACCCTGTATTTCTTTGATTCTTTTATTTGCGTTTTGAAAACAAACTAAAGAAAACATTTATCCAGTGTCACTTTTTTGTGCAATCCATTTGTGTTTAACGCAGATCTTGACTTGTAATACATACATGCATACATATACGTTTTTAATTTTTTAAAATATATTTTCGATTTTTAAGTTTTTTGGGATCGAAGGGCTAGAATTGACACAAAATCACAAAATCTTTAAGCGCTTGTGGACTGATTCTGTAACTTCTAGAGAGAGATTTAAGTTATTTTAGATCGATCTAGTAGGTAGCGTATTAAGGCCAACTTTTTATTTGAAAGTTGCGACAACTTGAAAATTTGCTCCCTCTGGTTTCGTTTTTCTTTCACAATGTATTCTTGCACGATAATATTCCATCACAATAGGTGATAACAAAAGTTGTACAGTTTCGATAGAATAAATAATAACGACTGCACTCATTCCACTTATGTCCAGGTTTGAATGCAGCAGCAAAAATTGCCATTTTTCACGTGTTGCGAAATTTTTTTAATTCTGACGATTGTTGGCGTTACTTGCGATTTTTCGCTATTTTGTCATGTGAATAATCACTAAACCAGACCGAGTTGCGGATGTAACAAAATTTGCCAAAATTGCGAAAAATCGTAAGTCTGATGATTTTTAGCGTTACTCGCGATTTTTCGCAGTTCTTTGTCTTGTTAACAATGACTTAACTAGACCGAGTTGCGGATTTAACAAAATTTGCGAGAATTTCGAAAAATCTAGTCTGACGATTTTTTTTTTTGTGTTACTTAGATTTTCTAAGTTAAATCAAAGTTACCCAATATCGTGGCATAGAACCGGTACGAAAAAACAGTAAACAGGGATCAATTGCTTTCGTTTTAAAAAAGGACAACGAAGAAGGCAACCTACCAGAACGATGTGTTTCTATCGGGATGCAAAATGAGTGAACCGCAAAGAGAATGAGAACACAGAAAATCTTTAGTTCCTCCATTGCCACACCTTCTTAACTGTGGGCTTGAAATCTTCACCTAGGCCTAGAGTTTAAAAGCACAAGCGATGATCAATACAAATCGTTTCCTTTACAGATGTTTAGATCTCATGATCGTGTACTTATAAAGATAAAGTAGAGGAAAGCAAAGTCTTGTGAACAGCTCTGATGAGAAGAAGATTGTTTTTGACGGGTAAATTGTTTGCTCAAGTTACCTATAATTTGGATTGATGAAAAAATCTTAATTTAAAGAGGTGCAAAATACCATCCAAAAAAATAAAATGATGCTCTGTTGCCTGGATTGATAAGCCTCCGAAGAAGAATGTTTGTCTGTCTTCTTTATAAAAGCAAAAAAGACATAAAAATGCTATCCATGAGAGAAAAAAATATACCGACGTTTGCGATATTAGATATGGGTTTTTGTTTCACGGTGTTACGTTTACAGATAAAAGCGGAAGGCAATTACTTTAATTTGTCAAGACAAATGTGTAATAACGGACGTGATTCCCAATATTTTGTACAAATAAATAATATATGGCAGAACGTCACGACCAGAACTAACCTGAGCAACATAGATTGCCATCTTTCTTTTTAATTAAAAGGTAAAATATAATATATTCATTTTCTTCCAAAACCATTTTCCACCGATGTTTATCCAAAAATGGTTGAAAACGATTCTGTAAAACTTTAAAATTGGTTTTTCATAAATCGCTTAAGTAAGTTTGCCTAAGGAACCAACAGTTTTTCTACATTTCTTTCAAACCAATTTGCCTTTCGACGGTAATAAATGGTTCTACCATTCGAAAACGGTGTTAGTATCTGTCCGATATTTGATGATCGGTAATATCTAAGTCAATATGACTTTTATCTACCCCTCAGTTTGTGTCAGATTTGTCTTATAAAAGAAGACAGATTTACAAAACTCCACACTGGGGGTCAAGACTGGGTTTCAGGAGACCTTGGAACAAAGAGTGAAATTTTCCCGTAAGCTTTTGCAGTTCAGTACAATTCTTGTCAATGTTATGGAAACGGTTGCCTCTGATTACGTATTTTAAGACATCTCTTCCCAGCCTAGTTACCAATCCGCAGTACTTCTACATCTTCTGCCACCAGAAGCCACAAGTTTTTCCGCCGTAAGGAACAAATCTTCATTCCTGGGCTGACAATTTGAATTTTGTTTTACATTTTGTCGCAACAAGTCTTGATGATAAGCACTTAGCACCGTACCATCGGACACCAGTGGGAAAACTGTGCAAGTTTAGTTGTTTCACAAGTGCTAGTGGGTAAAATTCACCCCTCGCAGACTGAAAGGGGATGTTTTGAATTGAAAACCAAAGTTTATGGATGTGCCAAAGTGTATCTTTCCAGATGAGAGAGTGAAAATAGGTGTCTTATTATGTAATCCATGGACGTTTTAATAGCGGAGCTTTAGTTAATTTATACTGTCACAAAGAAATAGTTCGGCGATGGTTTTTCTTTTTTTACTTGCTGTGGGGTTCGTAAGTTATGATTGTCTTGCAGTATAGATCAATAATGCATTGCCCGTAATTTGAAAATCTTTTACCGTTTGCTGTTTTTGATCTAGATGAAAGTTGATGGATCGTACTATGTTACGTGTGATTTATTACCTATTACAGATCTCTTTGTGAATTCATTGAATTATATTAAAACTGGCTAAGAAACTTTATGCAATTATCCATGTTTTGACCAGTTAAAATGGACGTACCTGGCAGAGTAACAGGGGTTGTTTTGCCTGTAAATTTATAACTGCCAATTGTTTGCAACTTATTCGATAGCAGAAAACAAACTGATGGTATGATTAGCGAAAAAATAGAGATATGTTACACAACCAACGACACTTAATGACGAGCTGAGACCTGCTGTGTAAATAGGGAACAAAAAAGACATAATGCCTAATTTATAATGCATGACAATTTAGACATAATGCCTCTTAAAAGAACTTTTGACGTTGAATAAAACTGCCATTTTGTGTTTAAAAGTTTCCAAGGCAAAATAAACAAGCAAATGGCGCAAATAAAGACATTTTTACAACTTTACTATCGGTAAAATCCTTGAAGTTTGGCTTTGATTGACAGTTGAGTTTGGCAGCTGGAAAAATTTAAGATAGTCGGATACTGAAACATGAATACCATAATCCTAGTCTTCAACCTTAAACTCGTTTAATTTGGAACAAGTCACCCTGACAAGCCACACCAGAAAATCGCAAACTATTCTCTCCTTTTGTCTTTCTTCAAGAGAGAATAAAGGGGCTTGCTCTCTTTCAATATCTCTCTGAAAAGTATTTTGAAGTTACTAAGGTTACTGATTATTCTGCGTTTGACGTCATTGCTATTTGATTTCCTCTAATTCAGTAAATGATTGATATAATAGAATTGTCACGCACGAGGAGAGGAGCTCCCAAGTAAGGCTGCAGAGAAGAGAACCGAAGAGATTGACTGATGATTTACGTACTAATTAGTTATCAAATCATGCTGATGACACTTGATTGACTGTAGTAATCATTGCATTGCATTATCATTGTTATAAATTGTAACTTTATGTTAAGGCTTTTGCAATACTGTAACTACATAATTATAGTCATGCAAATAAAGCTTATGTTGTTGTTGCCTCCGTCTGTCATTGGTTCACTCTCTCTTCTGCAGAGGCCTCTTTTGTTGTGTACGTCGTAGGGAGACTGAGGAGAGGGAAAAAAATATCGAAAGCGCGCGGGGGACGATGGGAAGGGGAAAGAGAGGTAGTGAGGCTCTAGCCTTTTTCCGATTGGTAAAATTTTACTCCATCAAAGTATTCGAAAACCTCCGTTTTCGTCCGTCTGGCAACGAAATTGGTTCATATGACAAAAATGTCCATCCTGGGGACCATTTTCGAAAAAGTGCATTTTCGGTGCCGGAACGAAAGGCTAACTGGGAAAGAGAAAAAAAATCTGTTTTCTTAAATATGAGGATACATGTGGACAGGACCAGAGTCAGTTTCTGTCGCTCGAGTCCCTATTCTTTGTTTTCGAAACCCCCATAATACATTCTGTTTGCCTTGTCTTCCCCTCCAAAAAAAATCGCATAAACTATTGTTTTCAAATGTTCCTAGGAGGACTGTATATTCTCTCGATCAAGAACAAGGGCGCCAACCTCTACGGGCGTCTTCTGGGCCAAGCTAATTTCAAAATCTCGAAGCTTCGAGACGTTACTTTAGTTGCAGCATTTTACTTGAGATATTTCTTCAGAAAAATTAATCTCTTTTAAAAGGAAATTATTTTACCAACCTAACATATTAAAAAGAAAATAATAATAATAATATTTAGAAAAGACAAAAAATTGTGTGGGTTAACTCCAGACGATACAAGTTGCCTCGTCTTACGACTTCGTCTTCACTCTTTCTACATGTAGCTTCAGCCCGAAGAGTTTCGGTTGCGCAAGAAAATGTCGCACTGAATTTGTTGTCTTAAAGGTTCCGTTGGAAAGAATTTGGTTCCATTGAAAAGAATTTGCTACACAAATTGGTCAATAACTATAGCAACAAAATAGGGTATAAGAATTTATTGATTTAACGGTAAACTGCGGGTTATGATAAGATCTTTTTAAAGTAATAAAAACTAACAATGCAACGAGGTAGCTTCCTGGGTGAAAAAAGGATAAACTGAGCATTTCAGTATGAGAAAGAAAAACATGTCTATTTAAATACTGATATAAAATATTTCTGATGTCGATGAAAACTTTCAACGCCAGTTTGAATCGTTCTTGAATAGTTCTTGTTAGATAATAGGCAAGCATCTTGCTTTGGATATACAGACAAAGGAAAGGGGGTATCCATTTTTATCTTCTTGTACTTTTGTGTCCGTAAAAGGGTATAATAGAGTAAACAATAAAACTAATGATGGTTTTGTAATAATCCAGTCACGCTAAAAGCTTAAAAATTTTACTTAATTTTTGGTATAGCTTCAATGTTTGGTAAAGCACAAAAACTGCAGCTTTTGCTACTCTAATCTTCTCAGGCAAGACAGCACTGCAATCCGTTGTACAGTAAGGTCTACTTGAACACTTCAAAGCATGATACACCATTCAACAAAATCAACGTTTTTGTGTCCCAGATAAGCCTCAGAATCGAAACAATTTGATTTGGATTTTCCTCAAAAGCTTGTATCGCAGGTCTCCACTTTTACAATGCACTTGTGGTTCACTTCCTGATCAGCACCAGCTACTTCCGTATGAGCTTGCGTATTCGCATTCTCTCCGCAGTCAACAGCATGGGCTTGTCCACTGGTTTTGTTATGGTTTTGTTCTTCGCTAAGCGCGTGGTCGTTCTCAAACCAGTTCATGTTGTCATAAGTGTGTGCTGCTTCTCTCTGACTGTGTTCCCTTTCAGCATGTTCCCTGCTAATTTGTCTCCAAGATTTGACCAAGGTGAAGACGGTCATGGCTATGAGCATAACAAGGGCAATGGCTGCACAGATGATAGCCACCAAGCCCTCAGTTTCCATGGTTACAACCTAAAAAAAAAAAAAAAGAGCATTTTTAAGGTGTCTGGAAATTCCTTCATTGGCCGTCCTTTTTCAAACAGCAGTGAGCTCGGTTGCTCGAGAGATTGTTAAGTTTAAATTAGGGTTAAGCAATTCTTGCTTAGAAATATGTCACTGGCCCTGACCCTCAACCTCCTCCCCAGGGCGCTTTTCTATGGCTTTGGGAAAAGCGACCTGGGGACGAGGTTGCCGGTTGCTATTTATGTATTTTTTGGGTGAGAGAAGATTGGGGTTAGGTTGAGACACCCAATATTCATTCTTTTCACTGGGTGCGAGTATGTGTCACTGGAGCATATACTGAGATAACTTTTACTCCGAGACCCAGTCATAACAACACGAAAAAAAAAAATCTACAAGCTAAAAAGTTCTTTTACAACGGTATTATTCTTTTCCATATTAAACTAACAGAATTAACGTCTTTAGACTTCGATTATATCGGGACCGCGGCGTTTATTAACTTTTTTTTTTC